GAACGTGGAACGTGCCACAGCGGCCACTTGCAGCACGCGAAATTGTTGTAAAAACTCCAGTGTGGCGGCAATAAGTTGTTGTTCGGCTGCAAAAGTTCCGGCAACGGTAAAATAAACGTTTGTCGCTACACACACGCATACACGTGATATATGTTTATGTGTGCATATTTTCCTTTTTTCGGTTGCAACACGAATGTCACCATCATTTTTTAATCGACATTAAAAATATTGCAACAGCATTTACATATTTTCAGCGAACAGAATATGTGCTCCCTTGATTCTCTCCCCACGAACACACACACATACCGCGCATTTTCACCGTCAACGCGAATGGCGCTGCCACCGCACGCCGCACTCGCCATAATGGCTGGAATGGGTGGAGCGAACACTGCAATTATTATGCAATTGTACTTTTTGTTGTCAATTGTTGTTGTTGTTTTTTGTTGTTATTGCGACATTCCAAATGAGCACCCGGTTAGTAGGGCAGAAATTAAGCAAAGCAACCGAGAGTACAGTCTATTAAATGGATTAAAGCCGGATCATTCGTTCATTCATTCGCTGCAAGGGAGCGCGRGAAGAGCGTGCGGAGGAAAATGGCGCAAAAGAGTTTAAAAATAATAAATGGAAAACAGTCAGCGCTGTTATCCACTTATAATCTTTGTTTATTCCGTGATTTAATGCAGTCAGCTGAAATTAAATGACCAAAGAGGTTTATTTAAAAGCCCGCAAAACCGGCGGCCACAGCACTTCGTTTTATAGTTATACTTTGAAAATGGAAAGTGATAGTAAACTAGGATTTACTGGCTTATGAAAGAGGTTGGCGTTATTGTGGGCGTACTGTCGGATATTCTATTTTATTATTGTCGTTTGAAAGCAAAAAATCTGTGATCAACAGACGGTTCGTCAGGAAATGCTGCTCTAAGCTTAGATATGCAATTCTACACCACTAAGTTTCAGTGATAAAATTGTACCATAATTAGTAGAATGGTTTAGAACATTGCTTATCGGAGACAACCACCATTCGTACACTTAGCGCTTTATCCAAAATATGTGCTAAGCTGTTAGATTATATATATGAGGTAAAATTATTTTTTAAACTGAAGGCTTAATAATCCTCCTTATCTCCATGCTCGAGTTATTTTTGATTAGGCTGGTTTGGTTGCCTCGCCACAGAGGTATTACAGGAAACCGTCAGGCTGTTGAGCTTGATAAATAAGCGCTTTAATCTCAATAAACGCGGAATGAAAACGGGTTGGAGCTCCTTTAGCTTCTTCTAGTTTTAGTGCCATGTTGAACATCAGACCAAATCAGCAAGCGCTAGTCGACTACCAGCAACTGTGCAGTATCTAAATCCTCCTGGCCCGTGATAAATTATACTTTTTTCAMTCAGAATCTTTGAGGGTTTTAGTTTGAAAATAGAACCATGTTGCAGTCTTATCTCCATCGTCGAGTTATTTTACGATTAGACTGGTTTTGGCCCGTCTACAATGGTACTGCAGGAAACCATACTGCTGTTGAGCTTSATAACAAAGGCGTTTCTGAGTCAATTACCGCGGAATGTGAACGGGTAGGAGCTGCTTTGGCATCTTATGGTTAACTACTGGGCTGTTGGACCSCAGARCACATCAACAAGTGCTGGTCRACTACCAGCAGGTTTAAATCTTAAGAGATCCACGTAATTTTTTTCTCTTAACATCTTTGCGCATTTCAGCCCGGAGATGGAACTATATTCCATAGGCAACGCACGGCCACACACGTCGATAGTGACTCGCCAGAAGATTCCGGTGGTTATAAGGTTCTTAATCAACCACTTTATGATCCCTCAGCAAGTGAATACTACGAGCKTTGTCTACGCCGAATGGTTCCGATCATCTAAGCTTTGCTTAAAAAGAAACTTATGACATCGACCAGATTTTTTGCCAATACRGATGAGGATTTCTATGCTAGTGACATAAGGAAATGATCTTAAAAATGGTAAGGCATGCCGAATATCAATAAGAACAATCCATTCTATTCCATAATAGAATGTGGACAAAAACTCAAGAAGTGTTGCTATAGAGCTATTCGTATACAAAATCTTCCGAAACCAGTTTCTTCAAAATAACTATAAGAATGCTATAGACATGGCTTAAGTTGTTCTAGGTCAGGTCAATAGTAAAGTGTATTTGTCGTAGGAATTGTTTATTTTACAGCATTGTGGAGTCATCAACAACTTCATCGACTCTCTTTCAATGTTCTCGAGCTCGAGTTGCCGCGAGAAACGAGAGTGACTCTTGCGCAGCTTCATTCTGAATATTTTAGCAGGTTAAACTCTTACCCATTCAGAATAGACYCCGACGTATCTAATATATGTACTGCGCGCAATAAGTCACCGTATGACATTAGCCACCTCTTTGCATTCCCTCCCCAACCCCAAACATCTGATATCTCTCACGCTGTGGTTCRCCCTCGTYGAAASAGCACGTTTCTTGGGCCTTTCTTTGGATGCCTTCGACGACAACCTATCTAATCCTCACCATCCTAACGGGAATAATGCATCCWTTAAAATAACAACAACAAACAATGAGCTACACGAGATATATGTGCGTCGCCATTGACATAGTTCAGCGAATTAAGAGACAGCGGCTACGAKGGCTAGGTCATGCCGTYCSAATGAATGAAAACACTCCAGCTCTTAAAGTATTCGGCGCAGTACCCGCCAAGGKAAGCAGAAAAAGRGACATTTCTCCACTCCATTAGAAAGATTAGGGGCTACASTTGGAATMTCCAATTCATTGGAATAATAAYAACTTSAACTAYAATTTCTGTCYTGTYTTACRAGCTCTTTGAGCGAATTTATCAATATTCTCTCATTTCTCATCATTTACACAGTCTCAAAGTCGCCAGAYCCTCACCAAATAGCAACAGCCAACAGCAATTACACTAATATTTTTTCAAACTAAGTAGGTATGCCTGATAAATACTCTTTTATAAGCAGCAAAAACAGATAGTATCATATTTTGTTAGCAATTCCGTAAGTATGCTTTTCATTAACAACCTTCGAATATAGGAGCARAGGTTTATATATTACCTCTATGGTAAAACGAAAACTGCAAAAGAGCGCATAAATATTAATGTTTTCCCGTGCGCTGTGGCGCAAGCGGGGGAAATTCATACTTGCACAGCTCATTAACGCACAAAACACAWCGTTTACAACGCAACAACAAACACAACAAAGCCACAAAAATATGAATCACGATTACACAAGCAACCAGGCGAGGTGTTAAGTGCCGCCGACTGCCACACACGCACCCCCTGCACGCTGAAACAAACGTACAGCGATGCGCCGCCGACAATTTGCTATAATGATGATCACTCATACGCCCTGTCAGCCGTGGGCGATTGTAATTGAAAGCACAACAAGACATGATGTGTGTGCACAAATGGACCAGCMCGGGGGATTTCATATTTTTCCGCTTGCCCACACAATTACTTAAATGCGCTTGTAAGCAAACGAGTAAACACAGGGCGGCCCATGCACACAGCGGCATTAAATATTTACAGAGGTGGCTATACATACAATGCAAGGTATTTTTATATACATATATATTCATATGTATGTATGTATATATGTTGAGTTTGTGTGAAAAATATGCGCCGATATTTATAGATTGAGATGTGTATAAGAGACAGGCTATACATACAATGCAAGGTATTTTTATATACATATATATTCATATGTATGTATGTATATATGTTGAGTTTGTGTGAAAAATATGCGCCGATATTTATAGATTGTTGTTGCCGCCAGCACGCGCAAATAATTTCTATATTTATGAATATTTCAAATCCCAAGTGTGAAAAAGCAACAATCGGAAACCAACCACACGACAACAACAATAATAGCCCCTATAGGCTACCTAGGGTTTAACGAAAGTGTAGATAGCGTAGCATTGAAAAAGAAATGCTGAAAAGCAGCAACGTACGCGCATCACTGAACCACCTGTTGCACACTTGATAAAGCCGTTGCTGTTGATGCCACATAGCGAAAATACGAAAACAAACCGGTTACTGTGGGAATTGAGAGATTTTCAATATGCATACTCTAAATCAGCAGCTCGCTGGAACTTACAGACACTCATATACTAAAACATTAATAAAAGAGACCCAGAAACATCTTGCCACCTTAAGCCTCCAACGAAGCTCGGCTCTTTATGCGAACGTGTAAATTCCGTGCGATTAAATGCCAACATAAGAACACTTGAATTAGAAAGTTTTCACTAAAAAAAAAAAAACAAAAAAAAGAACGAATACGCCACCACAACCCTCTATAGGCCTGACTGACGACAGGCGAACCAGCCAGCACGACCTCTTCACACGCCACAAACAGGCATTTCTTACCCACAATCCAGCTGACAGCCTCACTTGCTGCCCGCCYTCGCTGGCAAATTACATTCATTGCTCATTTCTTTTGTGTGCGTGTGTCTAAGGCCACACGTTCATKTTGCCTGAATTACCAATTCATTGGTCACACAGGTGAGCTTGAGCTTGAGCGAACGCATGACCCTTTGTTTGCACACATGTATGCGACAATTTATTATCCGCAACGTGGCTGCCATTTCAGACATTTTATGGCCGACAATGAGMGGCAATCGTAGCAACGACCCTCGTCAAAAAGCTGACCAACAAAGATATCTAACACTCCACACACACACCTTACACCGCTCTTGAGTTGAGCACTTTTCCAAGGTCTCGCCACACCTTCAAGCATAAATTCTAAGCGTGCGTAATGCACACACCTCAATACTCGTTTATTGAAATAATTGTCGATCTTTTTTCATGCATCCTTCTTATCCTCATGCAAGCCAACCAGTGATCCCAATGGGTAGTTTTTCGTTTGCTTGTCAGTTTGTAAGGCTTGTCAGTGACCTTTGCTAACGATATGCGTGAAACGATTGCTTTTATTTGGGCGAGAGTTAGTTGACCTAGTGACTATCATAAGCATACATTAAATAGGTGTGTGAATTCTTGAAATTTTAATGCGTRACAAAGCCTATCAATTTAAGCAGATTTAGTTTGGGTGTAATACCAATTTGCTTTGAGCCTCTTAGATTTTGCCTCACAAGTGGGTGATATACAGTTTTATGCTCACATTCCAGTATGTCATATTCGTACAGTTTTATAATTCCCTCATTCACTCGGAAAATTGGAAATGATTCGTCAGCAAATTCATTCTCAATAGACGAGAGGCGGTCGAAACTAGTTGAAGCCAGGTCCAGAGGTCCAGTTCCACATAAAAACATCCCAACTATATTCCCGCCGCTTCTAATCTGAAAAAGGTAGCATTACTTCATCCCGGATCATGACGCGCCATTTCAGTCTGCGGACCTGGAAAATAGTAGATTTCCGTACTAAATCCTGCACTTCGTCTGCTAAAGGCTCTTTATTTTTTTTTCACAAACCGCCGGCAAACAGTTTTTTGCGCGGATGAGCTTTAGCCGGATGGCTCTACGTCTAATTTTCCTACTCTTCGTTCATCACTCGTCCTTCGTTTTTTCTCTTTGCCACGCTTTGCTTCTAAGCTGTATCAGAGTTTTCGAGCTASATTCTCGAATTCCACATCTACAGGGATCGGATCATGTTACTATATTTTCAGAGCTCAGCCGCTTCGGTGTTTCTATAGTTTCTCTCTTTCGTCTATACAGGCACTGACACAGAAATAAAATGTGCCACGTGATTTTACTCCCATTTCCACAGAAAKAGCAGTCCATCACCATGCCCATATTTGTGTAAGTACTTTCTAAAGCAGCTGTGTTCAGCCAGAAACAAGATTTTCTAGTGAGTCATTATCGATGTATTTGACTGGATGTTGTCTTCATAACCACAGTTCCTKCCCTTTCCGTCCAATTATTGACAATACAGGTTTAAATTAAGAATTCGACCGTAGGGCATCTGGTTATAGTAGAAAATTTCCGATATCATCAAAGTCGAAAGCAAAAGCTGACCTTCAACTTAGTTTTCCACAATTAGTAACAGCTCATTGCAATTAGACCACGATTGTTTTTGTTTGACGCGGTCGTTAGTGACTCGTTAGATATCAATTGTAACCATCTGCTGCCGAAATGCATCGGACTTCATGGGATTCGCTRGTGGAAATTCAGTGCTTAAGGTTAGTGTGCGTTAACTTATGTGGTGCCCATTGATCGAGCCTGACCGATGACATACAAGAGATCAATGTTTAACTCCTGGGCAATCGTTGCAGTGGTCAGATGACGACCGGAATCGACGATTTCCATTATTTTATCGATGACAATAAAGCTTCCAGAACTTGGTATCAAATTCACCAGAACGAGATCGACGAAACCAAGCTTCCGCGAATTGCCTGTTACAKACCATAATTTTTTTCACATTTTCARCCGTCTGACTTTCGTTTTGGACTTTAACGAAGAAAAACTATAAAATATGGCGCATTTCCTCTCTATTGGTGTCTATCTTTGAGACATGCTCAGTGTAAATCAAGCACAAAACTGTCTGAAAAGACGTCTTAGTAAGTTATCTTTCTAATAACATATAATCTAAACTGATTTTTACTAGTTTTATCATCTCATCAAAAATAAAGCTGGAAAGTTGACAATTATGAAAATCTGTTCCCAAAAATCTGCAAACTCACTAAGATGGCAGTCTTTAATGTATGTAGCACCCGATGTACTTCTAAAAAGTGCGATTTCTTTTAGGTCTACATCTACATCGTTAACAGAGCTTTTATAAAAGCCTTGAGGAGACTGACGGTGAGCTAAAAGCTAGTCAAGAAATGCATGACCTCTGTAGCTATAGCATGAAGCTACCAARCAACCAGCACATATGGAGTATTCTTYTGAGCAA